CTCCAGCAATGCTCCCCTTGAGCTCTGGGTTAAGCGGTTCATGGTGAAGTCACTCCACGTCCCGCTGTGAGGTGGTGCTTTGAGACCACGTAAAAACCTCGCTATTCATAGACTTCCAGTTCGTTTATATGTTTACACTTGCACGGACTCACGTTTGTACCACTTACTCACCAGCAACCTGCTTTCCTCGCGATAGGAGGCGCAGATTGGCCCGGGTCTGGCCCCTGGGTGACCCCCACCCCAGCCCCGGGCCCTTGTGATCAGTTCCCTTCACTTCCGGCCCTTCCCGGTCCCGGCCCATTACGATCGACCTCTGGGCTCACCCTGTGCTGTCCCGGCCCAGTGTCCCGAGGTGTCCCTGGTTCCATTTTATGGAGGAAGAGATAGAGGTGGTTCTCTGGGCCCCCAGAGGACGAGGGGTGTCCACGTCCACGTCCACATGGGAGGTGCCACGCACCGCCAGCTGCCTGGGATGGTTCTGTGCCGGAGCTCTGCAGCTGGGCCGTGGCCGGCAAGGTGACCTTCAGACGGGGCCGGGGGACCCGTGGGGAGGCGGTGTCGCTCCTCATAGACTTCGTGCCATGGTTACAGCTGTCTGAGCGTGTCTACACCCTGGAGCTTTTCCAGAGTTTGCTGCTCCAGAGGCTGCCTAGAGGCTCTTGGCACCCAGGGCCGAGCCTTGGCTGAGGAGGGGGCTCCCAGGCACGCCTTCCCTCATGTGGCCCGGTATGTGTCCCTCCCTCCGGTGGAGAGTCGCTCCTCTCGTGGGCTGGTCCCCCGGTGACCGAAGGTCTTTGCGTCAGCAAGGTGGGGCAGCCAGCTATCGGGCTGAAGCCCATCATACCAGGGAGAGGAGTCGGACCCGAGTTGGGCTCCCGGCAGAACCTGCGGTACAGGCAGGTCCGGGCGCGTCCGTGGAGGGGCGGGAGTGGGCGCTGCCCTCGCCGCCTCTGCTGGCGGCACCGGGGTCCCCTGGGGGTGAGCGTCATACTGGGGCCGCAGGCGGCTCGGTCCCAAGGGCCCATCCAGCTCACTGTCCCCAGGCGAGGCCGGGGGGTCAGGGACCCCAGAGGAGTGGAAGCCGTGCCCTCCGGAAGCTGCCCCACCCACTGAGAACATTAACCTGTCTCTCCCCTCTGCCCCGGCCCAGACAGTCGATGCCTCCAGGAGCATTGAGGATGTCCACCGGGAAATCCGCGTGCTGTCTGAGGGTGCCATCCGGGCCGCTGCACACCAGCCACTGGGGCAGCTGTGGACATAGAGGGACAGGACCCCCCGTCTGCCATCCGCAAGGCAGGAGCCGCGTGTGCACAGCGTCCGGTGGGTGAAGCGGGACTCCCCAGGGAGCAGCCTGCGGGGAAGCCTCTCCTGCCCTCACCTATGCCCCGAAGATACTAATAAATTAGTTATTGTGTTTTGCTTACTGAAGTTTCACAATGACTGTGTCCAGGCAGTTCCATCGGGTTCGCTGATCTCCTTGTGGACGTCTTCAGACACCAGTAAAGATGAAATGAAAATGGTTGTGGGCAGCCCCGGGCCCGGCAGCCATCAGCCGTGCCTGGGCTCTGAGCGCCAGCCTGACGTGCCGACCTCACAAGGCCTGACCAGGCTGTGTCCGAGTGGCAGCATCCCTGTCTCCTCTGAGCATGCCCAGTGCTTGCTTTGCTTTTCCCTCTGTTAAGGTCTGAAATGCAGGTGTGTAGTCCCTCCGTCCTGTGAAGTTACTCCAGGATGCAGTGGCCCTGCAGTGGGCGGTGGGCAGAGCCCCTGTCTGCAAGGCACCACAGGTCTCAGCGCCCTTCTGTGCGTGCCAGCAGACCGGATCCCGAGCACAAGAGGATGTGACAGTTTAAAGTGTCACAAGACAGTTTGACCAGGGCTTGGGGAAAACCCGCATGTGGCCAAGTGGGTTCCAGCTCAGCGGTGGCGCCTGCTCCCCGCACTGGGCAGGGTCCCTTCTCATCCAGGTTGAATAGATGTGGCTGCCCATCCACAGGTGCTTGGCAGGTGGGGGCAGCCCAGCCCTCAAGGGAGGACAGAGGACACAAGTGCTGGGGGTGGCTGGAGCTGTGCACTCGGATGGCTGTGCTGTCAGTTCACAGCAGGTCCTGCCTGTTGATGGCACCAGGCTGGCCTCGGGCACCCGTCCGTCTGAAGGGCCTGGCTGTGTCCATCCCAACGTGCAGCATGCACTCGAGGTCAGAACTCAAGGCCCGTGACCCAGTGACAGAAACAGTTGGGAACCGCTCACAGAGCCAGACCACTTTTGTTCCGCAGTCCCAGGGTCACCTGCGGGCGTGGCCTGACAACCCTCCCACCTACGTGCCTTTTGATTTTTCACATGACCAAGGCCACGTCCTAGGTGAAGAAAACGAAACGTGGGGCGGGGCTCTTGCGAGTACCGGGCTGTCAGGGAGGCTGCATCCGGCTGTGGGCCTGGGTGGGATGCCCGGAGCACGCTGGGCAGGCCCCTGAGCGGGAGCTGGGCACCAGACAAGAGCTCTCTGGCCCAGGCCAGGAGTGGGGCCACAGAGTCCCCAGCGCAGACCCTCTCAGGGCTCGGCTGTGCATGCGGGGGCAGGCCGGAGCCCCGGGGAGGAGACGCCGGAGCTGAGTGGGGCCCACGGGCAGCTGGATGGTGTGAAGACAGAAATGGCCCCGGAGACCACAAAATTAACGGGCTGCTGAAACTTTCTTCAGTAAGCCCAGCACGGGTTTTAAAATATCTTGCCAGGGCTGCGGCAGCCGGCACCGCCGACGGGGCTGCGTGTCCTGAGGCGCCCTGACCCTCTGGCCTCCCCTAAAGAAGCCTGTTGGGCCCCGTGGCCGGCAGGATGACGGGCCCCAGAGACATCCTCGTCCTGACCCCCGGAACCTGTGAGTAGGGTGCCCACCTGGCCAAAGGAACCGGGAGGTGGGAGGCCACCCTGGATCGCCTGGGAGGCGGGAGGGGCCTGGTCAGAGGAGACGATGCCGGCTCTGCGAGGGGGGCGGGAGTTGATCCAGGGGACGCGGGGGCTCCTAGGAGCCGGAAAGGACAGGTAGCCAGTTCCCTGGGGCCCCAGGGGGACAGCCCTGCTGACCTCTGCCCGCCAGGGCCCTGAGAGGTAAGTGTTGTCTCGGGCCCATGCGTGTGGAGGGCGTCACAGCTCAAGAAGCCAACGCGGCCATTTCTGGAGGCCAGGACTCAGGTTCTGAGCCATGGCGCTTCCTGCTCTCCTCTGGCCTTGGTCCCCTTGCACCCAAACTGGAGGGTGGGTGGGCAGGTGGAAGCGGGGAGCCAAGTGGGGGTCGCTCCGACCGTCCCACCAGGACTTCCCGGGCAGGGCGAGAGGCCCTTGTTCACATCCTTGGTGACCCGCTCGGGGGTGACCGGCTGAGGCACGGGGCGCCTACAAGGACGCTGCCCAGGGAGCCAACACGCCACCCGGCACCGCAGCTGCTCCCTCCCCGTCTATGAAAGAAGAAGGGCATCTTCCCAAAATCAGGCTCCCCCGCATTTTTTTTTTTTTTTGCGGTACGCGGGCCTCTCACTGCTGCGGCCTCTCCCGTTGAGGAGCACAGGTTCCGGACGCGCAGGCTCAGCGGCCACGGCTCACGGGCCCAGCCGCTCCGCGGCACGTGGGATCTTCCCGGACCGGGGCAGAACCCGCGTCCACTGCATCGGCAGGCGGACTCCCAACCACTGCGCCACCAGGGAAGCCCCTCCCCTGCATTTTTTGCTTTCTACGCAAACCACACACGTCAGAGAGAGCTGAGAATCAGCGTTGCGGAATCAGGTCCAAACGGGG